GATTTTTTGTAAACCGAAATTAAATATTAAATTTTAATGGCAACTCGACCACATGTCCACATACAAATTTAACATATGCAAGCAGAGAAGCTTTATATATAATTAGCAGAGATGATGAGTTAATTAAATTAATACAAACGAAAGCTGCTAACTAACTAAAGTGTACGTGTAAAAGGTTGTTGCTAAAGGAACAATCAATCACACATGCATTAAGAATCAATTGAAACCAGACAACTAATTTATTATTATGTACTATGTGGTGTTGCACATGAACCAACCGACACAAACAAGATCGCTGGATGGATGGGTACATATATGATAAACCTATTGAATAGAAAAATCGTAATTACTATTTAAAAGTATACATTGAATATATTTTTGTGTAATAATTTGATCTACAAATACAAGAAAAGTAAATTAAATAACACTAAAAAAATTATGTACAGCAAATTCAATCGAGAGAGAGAAGTTAAACATTATTGAATTGAAAAAATTAAGTAAAATTGTTTTTTATTGACTAGAATTACAAAACAAACTTTACCCAAACATGCCCTTCTACACCGCGGTTACAAGTTTTTTTTTTTTTTTTTTTGGGAACCGCGGTTACAAGTTTTTGTAACTCAAAATATTGTAAAAACTTTGAGAACACCAATCCTAAAAGAAATGGGAACAGCGTTAAGGGTTTTGTCTGTTTGTACCGACCAAATAGAACAGCTTTGAATCATGTTGTCCCATATTATCCCTACCATTTTTTCTTATTATTACTGTATGTAAATCCACAAACCCTCTTCTGATCTTCTTCCCCTCCTTACAACCTAATTATATATCCTCAGAGCTCCGGCATACCTTTGAGCATACAGTCTGGCCTCAACACCCTCATTCTGTTCTTGTACAACGTTAATCTTTATTATATTTATATAATTATAATATGGGCTTTTGATGATAGTATATATATATATATATATATATATATATATATATATATATATATATATATATATATATATATATATATATGTGTGTGTGTGTGTGTGTGTGTGTGTGGGTGGAAGAAGCTAGTAACAAGCTAAGGCAGATAAGAATTTCTGCCAAATGTTTTGTCTGTTGTAAGCAACGCTTGTGTCCGAATTCAGGCCGTGTCTTCCGACCTAGAAAACAACATTTTATTATCATATCCCGTGCTTAGCAACATGCAAATTAAATGATAATTAATACAAGTAAGTATTTTTTAAAAAATTTTTAATTTAATACAGAGAGTTAGCATTCCACATTTCTGATCGGACCGGCGGCTCAGACCCGGTCCCCCTTGGTCGCCACCTGTCAAATCTGTTTTACTTTCCGTCTTATTCCCGCGTTTCCTGGACGGCCACTTTATGTCCAGTTTCGTCTTCCTCATTATTATTTTAAAGAAAAATCAATTTTTAGCTGTTATACGTAATAATTATAGGTAAGGCAAATTCAAGAAAAAAAAAAATACATACTACGGACTCTTAAAATTTACTCCCACATTATATTTATTTACACAAATTTTAGATGTAGGACATCTTTATTGGTACTTGTAGAGTAAAGATAGCTTATCGTTATTTATCATGATAGATAGTAAAAATGAGAAAATAGAGTTTGAAAGTTCATGTAGTAAAACTCATTCAAGAATAAATTTATGAACATTTGCTTATATTGTTCGAGAGTATATCACTGCTGGAAATTATGAAATTTTCGACCACCTAAAAGTGATCTTAAATCAAATCAAAAGCAAAAAGTGGTCGGAAATAGCAACAAAAGTTTTTCCGGATACCAAAAGTGGTCGGAACAAGGCTTTCGACTTGATTTAGGATCACTTTCAGGTGGTCGTAAATTCCATAATTTTCAGCAGTGTATTATAACTAGATACGTTACACCCAATTTATGTTAATAGATATTGCTCGAGAGTATATTATACTAGCGCAGCGGACCTGCACTCGGACTGGGATTTTAGGTCGGCCAAGTGCGCAGCGAAATCGACGATGCTCGAATTTGGCCCTACTCGAAAGGTGAACCTGGTACCAATCAAGTATACACTACAAGCACTGCTGGAAATCTCGCTATTTCCGTCCACCATTTCCGTCCAACCGTAAGTTGGTCGGTATTTTAATAAAAAATCCAACTTTCTATCACAAAAGAAGGGTGGACGGAAAGTTGGTCGGAAGTTCCGTCCAACATTCGCGCGTTGGACGGAAAATCCGTTCAACATCCAATATTGGAAGGAAATTCTATCCAACCTGTAGTGTTGGTTGGTGAACTCAAATTGACTAATAGGTAAAAATTAAAAATAGTAAGAATTTTAATTTCCGTCCAACATGTTATTGAACGAAAATTTAAATATTTTAACCTTCTCTTCTTTTACTTCAATAAAATTAAATTCCCACCAAAATTTTATTGATGGGCGCCATCTTATTACATAAAATTTTACAACCCACATATCTTCCTCTCTCTTCTATTTCCCCTTGGACGCCTAAAATTTTAGTACATCAAATTTTACAGCCACATCTTCCCCTTCTTCTCTTTCCACCTCTCCTAAATCCCTAAGTCGCCAGACCTAGTCATTGCCTCTTCCTTCAAATCGTCGCAACTCGCTCGCCGCCGTCGCCGCCTCCAGCCATCAGGTATTTTCGTTTCTCTGGTTTTATTTTTCATTATTTTTCTCTTCAATCAGATGTGCCAGGTTGAGGACGCAAAGAGGGAAATCTAGCTCGCCATCGGCCGCCAAGCGGGAGATCCGGCGCGCCAAGCTCGTGGACGGCTGCAACGACGTGAATATAATTCTTTATGGTCAACATTTTTCTTCCTTAGTTCGTTTTTCTATCTCTTTCCATAATTTGAAATGTAAGTTGTGGATATTGAGGGTGAGATGGACAAGCTTGCAATGGAAGAAGCTGGCTTTCGTAATTGTAAAATCCGAAACCCCTAAAGCTCAAAGAGCCTAAGTGATAGCACCAGCTGCCTCAAAGCTGAAGGAGATCTCTCTCATTCTGCCTCACCATGAATGACCTTCTATCGGTACTTTCTCTGAGCTTCTCTATCTTCTAAATTTCAAAATTGTCATCACTTTTTAGCTTCTTTTTCTTTGTTGGCACCGGGAAAATTGCTGATAACTCAACTGAGAATCAATGAATTCCTTACAGTTTCGAAATCTCATAGCAGTGTATCATATCGATATTTGTAGTTGTATGGCAGTGGTAGGATTTTTGGGCAATTTTTTCTCTGTTTCATTCAATATGCGAAGTTTTATTGTGTATCAGATCGATCCTTGTCCGTGGACCTCTGGAGACTTATTATTAGCTTTTGATCTAAACATCTAGTTCATTGATAAGTTGGTAATCAGAATTTAGTTTTGTTTGTATGTATGCAATAGAGTTTATGTTTGTTCTTTAAAGTACATAAATTTAAAATTCCACAATTGCAAGCATGGAGAGGATGGTTAGGGGGGTGGACACATGAAAAAAGCAGCAAGATGATTTGTAGAACTGATATGAGCAATACTTCTAGCTGCTTTGCTGATTTTCCATGTATTTATGCTCTTGAGCAATGATTTGAAATGAAGTTAGTCTTTACAGTGTTAGGGTAAAAGTTCTAAAGAAATTGTTACTTTGAGAGCTTGACATCTGTGATCTTTTATAATATGGAGTAATACAGTTCTTGATTATTCAAACACCTTGCAAAATAGCATTAGTAAGACATCTTGTAACATTGCATCACTTGTATTGCATTTTAAAATACTTGTCATCTTTTATTTATTTTTGTTGTATTTCATTCAAGAAGGTTGTTTTTGATTGAGGAAGAAGCTAATTGGTGGCAGTTTTTTGATTGAGGAAGAAGCTTGATCAGGATAGTGTTTTGATCTCATTTTGTTTTCTGCATTATTTTTCACATATCAAAATTCTGAAGTTCTGGATCCTAAATATGATGAATCACTGAATACACATACAGAAGTGTCCTTGTAAGAAGACTTGGAATATGGTATGTGTTAATCTACTCTCTCAGGTTGCCTCCAACATCCCTTAGTGTAAGTTCATTTTGTCATCATCTTATGCTTCTTTACTATAATAGGTTAAAGTGTTTAATTAAGTAGGTAAATTTTTATATTGTTAATAAATCAATAAATTAGTGATTAGTCTTAGTTAGTGCATGCTGCTTTCAAGAATTCTGTTTTATTTTATTTTATTTTTTAAAAACTGGTTCCAGTTTTAATTAGTCATAGTAGAAGTTGTTTACTCCAGACTATGTATCTTTTTTTGAACTTGGCATAATGTGATTTGATATTATGATGAACATCAAATTGTCATCTGTTCAATGTACTTCGTTGGTGCTAATATGTTTAGGATTTTGTCTACATATTTTGGTATAACAATAAGTATTTAAGTGTTTAATTAGGTGTTGTAGTAATAATACTAATATATAGATTTATTATATTATTTCATTTGATATTTTGATAGGTTTGAATGAATTGAAGCTTGGAACTTGAAGCAGGCAGTAGACAGTGTGCTTATTGTTTATCACTTTATTGGCACTTGAAGCAGGGGCAATGAAGGAGGCAGTGTGCTTATTCCTTGTCTACCTTCTGTTACATCCTATTGGGGCATTATTGTAGTCAATTATGCTTAAATAGTTAAATGGCTATGAGGCAAGCATATTTGCCACTTTTACTTTTTTGCAGCGACTAAAGAGAAGTAGGGATCCAAGATGGATGTGGAGTTCACTTTTATGTTGGAGTAGGCTCAAGTGGATGATTAGCTGCACATAGAAATTGTCAACACCTCAATGAGATTTGATTTACTGCATCCTAAGGTAGTTGGTTATATGTTCTTTGTGTTCTTTTTGAAGTAAAGGGATATAATATTTGCAGTTGCAAGAGAGAAAATACTTCTAAGTTTGTTTTTCCAAGTGTTGTTTATGTTTTCTGTATGATTTTTGCATTTTGAAATCTATCACGGTCTAATTTTGGTGAAGGTCTACATTTGATCAGTCATTGAAGAAGAAGGTTGTGGATGCTGCATTGATCAAAGCCATTGAAGTAGTGCCGGATTTGAAGGCTCATTTGGGTGCAGCATACTTAAGTAGTATCAATTAAGTAGTATATATTTTCATGACTTTTTTTTTTATGAACATGACAATAATTTTTGTTGTAAAGAATTTTGTTGTTTAAATATATTTTCAATTTGAAATTTAGTGTGTCCAATAATTTGTTGATGACATATAATTTATTTACAACAGATATAAATAAAATTTTGGTAATATAAAAATAATAAAAACATTCCATATGATTTAAGATTTTCCTACCAACAGTTGGAAGGAAAATTACAAAATATAATATGTGAGTTTTCTGTCCAACATTGGTCGAAATTTCTGACCAACGCACATAATTGGACGGAATTTCCGACCAACGCATATGGATGGACGGAAATTCCCACGTTTTAAAAATGGTGGGGTACTTGCCGGAATTTCCGTCCAATTGTTGTTCGTTGGACGCTATTTCCGACCAAAAGTCGTAGTTGGACGGAATTTCCCACGGAGGTTTTTCCGAACGTTCTTTTTGGTCGGTATGTTGGACGGAAACGTTGTTTCCGACCAATATATCGCGTTTTCCGTCCAACATTTGTTGGATGGAAAACGCGAGATTTCCAGCAGTGAAGTACGATCGGGGATTATCCCTATATGATATTGATAAACTATTGGGGGAGAGAAAATGCATTTCCTACTCCACTTAATTGGGAATTGCAATTCTATGAAATTACAATTCCACAAATTTGAGGAATTGAAAATCCCACATACTCTCTAGGAATTGCAATTCCATAGAGCATGGAAATAAATTTTGGAGTATGAGGACCAAATTACCCTCCCTAATAATCTAACATTTTTTTTAGGAATTACAATTACACGAACATTTTGTTATTTATACTACTTAATAGTTTTACACGCGCATTACGTGAATGTGCTAATGTGCAATGTTTATATTTGAATAAGTATTTTAAAGTATATCAATGCAAGATTATATAGGAGAAGTTTATACATATAGGTAATTGAATGTAGAATTTATTTATTTAAATATGTAATTCAAAGTATAAGAATGCAAGATAATATAGGAGATTCATTATAATTGTCACTAAAATAAATGTTTGCAACTTTGTAAACTCGATAGTCTAAATACTTAGTCTAAAAACGATAGTCTAAATAAATAATACTTTTTGTTTAAATTTTTCTAAGTCTTCTTAATTCTTTTTGAGTAGCATTGTTATTTTCCTCATCTTCACTATTTGCCCTCTTCTTTTTTGTTGGTAGTGTGTTATTTGCAATTGGGTTATTGGTGGTAGCATAGATGGCTACGTTATGCAATGAGATTATGGTGTAGGAAGCTGTGGATTTGCATTGTTGTTGGTTGCAGAATATTTCTCAAACAAATAATGACCCAGAGTATCGGGTTATCGATCCACAGGGAAGTGAGGTGTATCAAGCACTAGCTACTAATTTATTATTGTGAAGCTAATCCTAACGAAAATCATGGATGATTGATTAATTATATATAAAACTAATTTAAAAAGCAAAGTAGCAGATTTGTGAAAACAATAGAGAGATTGAGATTCCTAGTATTCAAGTGTTTAATCACCTAGTGCCAATCTAAAGAACAATATTAAATCTGAGTTTAAACAAGTGTGAGAATGCAAACAAGGGAAAGAGTTACTCCCGTAATCTCTAACCTAAGTGAATAATCACTCCCTTGATATAAACACTCATCAATAAAAGAACAAACATTCATAATAAATTCCTAACTACTACCATCTCCCGATGTGCAAAAATCAAGAATTAACTTCCTTAACCAATATGTCATCTCCCAAGGTGCAATAGTTAAGTGCAATTGTGTGTCCTCTAAATTATGTCTAACTCGACACAAAGATAGCTATGAAACAAGTAACTATGGCCGCTAATTCCAAGCATCGATAATATGAATCACAATTGCAACACAAGTTATAAAATCCAAATATAAATATATTAGACAAATCTGAGAACTAGGCACATAAGTTTATAAACACCTTTACCCAAGAATCTCTAAGAAAACTTGGCCACACATAGCTAATATAGAATTCATAGCAATATTATAAAGACTTTACAAGCAATCAAAGAAAGTAAAGGAATAAACCAAGTGATTCTCCCAAATCTCCTTAGCTTTTATTCTTTCTTCCCAAGGCAACTTGTAGCTCTTGATTATCCTCTTTTTATCTTCAAAACGCAGCTTAGAGGTCTTCTAGGGTTGAGGAAGGCGGGCTTTTATAGCGGGAATCAAGTGAGGGATGAAATAGGAAATTTCCGCGCAAAACATTTCAAAATCTGCCCAGAGTTCTCGATGCGTCGAGTTTCAGCATCAATCTTCGCGCTACTTTCTGGAAGATTTCGACATGTCGAGTTTGGTGATGCATCACATATTGTAGCCCTTCGAGTCTTCTTTCCAATGGTGCAAAAATCACTTCAATTGGACATTCCTAGAGTGAGATATGATCAAAATACTAAGGTGTCATCAAATTCAGCGGGAATTACAACTCTTTGGTCTTTTGCCCCACTTTTCCCTTGTTTTGTTCTTGTGATCAAATCTATTGAAAGTACCACTATTTGGCTCTCTTTGAAGTATTTTAGCCACCTCATAGCTTCATCTTGACTTTGTTTTGGCTCCAAACTTGTCTTAGAACTTCCCTTGCTTTTGCAATTAATCTGCAATGATTTCAAAACACTAACAAAATCATAAAAACTCTCAAATCAAGCATTAAACCATATTTTCATTAGAAATCAAGGAAATATGTATTGAAAGTAACAATTTAACGAACTTAAGCTCACAAATAGCATACTCAAACTAACAAGAAAAACATGTACAATTAAGCTCGATCACATCAGTTGTGTATATGATTCGGATCTTAGTTGTACTATGAATTTTTGATCTTGCAAGCGCCTATTGATATTTTGCAGTGGTAATTTTTTTCATTTTCATGTTTTATGTGGAAGTATTGAATAAAAAATTAATATTTACTATATTTGTATAAGGTTCATGAGTAGTACCTCTTGTTCTATTTTCATAACTTGTTTACTTGATAGTAACAACAATAACTCTGTAAGTAGTCTGAGTACTGATGTCGCAACATGTCTAGTTTCATCAACAATTTCTACATTCATTTTGCACCTGTAAATTTTCAAGTTCATATTTTTAGAATTAGTATGAATGAATGTAGTACTTGATTTTGTGTGTGTGTGTGTGTATTTTTTTAATTTTTTTTATTGAATTGATACTAACCTTGGAGTTAAATTGTTTTCCACTAGGTGCATAAACTTTTTTTAAATAGTGACTACATCCTATATACCAAGTGTTTTTGTTGTCAAAGGTTGATGCTGATTTTGCCTGTAATCTAAGCAAGTTGAGTCTAGAAGATGAAATAAATTGTAAATTAATATTAGTTCTAATTTACATAAGTAATTTACATGCAGGACCAATGAATGCATCAACTGTGGTTATTTTGAAATTTCTTCATTTTCTAGGTTTGCCAAATTGATTGCAGCGTTGTTGTAGTCTAGACATCTTTTCAATACATCAAGTGTGTTACAATGTTCTATTACGAATTGCCCTACATTGACCGTTTTAATAATGCATTTTAAATGTATGTTGTAACAAAACACAACCTCGGATCGGACTAACTTAAGGGCCTCAACCCGACCTACCGAGTCGATAACCTTTTGTGCCTAGGAATAAGAATCGTGAAGTGACATTGTGACCAATCACATCATCTTAGGACTGCTAGGCATCTCAAGGCACGTGGACTAATCTATGCGGCTGCCGAGCCCACCAAATGTATGTGGAACACGTGGCAGGCATGCCAGGAGGACAACATGTGCTTCATCCTCACTCCTATAAATATCGCATTAAATGCTTGATGGGGGACTTTTGGGGCATTTCCAACTATCTATAATCAGCTCGGGACTCTTTGACCCAATGTCACATTTCCTGAGCTCAGCCACTTAAACCAACAAGCAGACCCACTTCGGTAATAATACAAATCAAGCTCGAATACTTATCCATTCGTAGACCTCTACATATTAACTACACCAACTTTGTTGCTTCATGGGTTAAAACTGTAACTTTTTTGAAGAATTAAGAGTGTATATTGCAATGATAACAAGTTATGAACTAAAATCATTAGTAAGGATTAATTGAGGGACTAAAATTACATTTTTTCTGATAAAAAAAATACTATCCTTCTAAAGTTTTGGTGCATAATAAGTAACCCATTAAAATATACTTCGTATTATATTGAGTATAATTTATCTCCCTAACTTTGAAAATATCTCAAAAACTTTCATTATTGACTTTCTATATATGCATTCTTTTGTGATGAATCAAGTAGTGGGGTGTCTTCAAGTGAAGCCATTTTGTTCAATGTCAAAACACACCAATTATTTTGTCACAATACTTTTGTTCCAATTATTAACATGCATGCATTTCACTTTTGGATAAACTCATAAATCCTCTTTCAGCTACATGTAATTCCTCCCCACTTTTTATATGCTTGACTAATGACTAGACCACTACACACATAACATTCGTTTCGCATGCAAAGGTACAGCTTAGAACATTATGGGAATGATAGTGACAACCCATGACAACTCAATTCACCTAAGAAGAATACCATATTATGTGCATTAGTTTTCAACTAATTATCATTTCGGAGTATTCATTTGCTAGCTTTTTCTTTTATGATTGAAAGCGAATACTGAGCGTACTGAGTATTTTCTAATTTTATCCTAACTTTGTAAGTGCGTGTCTCGACCTTTGCGGTACTAAGCCTACTCGAGTGAACATAAGACTTGTGAAATGTTTTTTTAACCATACATTAACTTTTATCCTTTCAATGATGATTCATGACACGTCCGATTTAACTGGCCGGCAGCTAAGTGCCATGTATCCCTCGTTAGCAAGATTATCGGCATGTTTTTGTACGTGTACCACTATACGCCACGTATGATTTTTTAGATATGGCAAATTCTTATGTGGATCATGGTCCACATGGTACTGCGAAGACCATAAAAAATATATTTTTAATATACTAAAAGTACATTATTTGTATATTGAATGTACATTATATAAAATAATGTACTTTTAATACCCAAATAATATACTTTCCTTAGATATAAAGTACATTTTAATATACTAAAAGTACATTATTTATGTACTAAATGTATTATTTGATAATATACAAAATAATATATTTTCAAAACTCAAATAATATACTTTATGTATATCAATAATATACTTTTTATTTATAGTCTATGCAAGTGTACGTGTGAACTGATTATGATTGTTTAGATATTCTCTCAATTTTTTTTTTTTTTTTGGTGGGGTTAGATATTCTCTCAATACAATACTATAAAGTCAACTAAAACGCCCATTTGAAAGGCAAATTATATAGTGTATAGTACCGTTTGATTATACGCCGAGCTTCAAAATGACGTCGTTTTGTTTAATGAAAGAAACGACACCTGTTTCCCGCCGCTCCGCGCTGTCCTGCAAAAAGTAACTCTGTTATTCAGTTTCATTTTGTATACACTGCAGTTTCAGTTCAACAAAATTACATTTTCATTTCGATATAACTACAGTTTCATTCGATATTTATACACTCAAATATGTGAAAATGTTATTTAATTTTATTTTGTATAAACTATAGTTTCATTAAAACACAACTACATGATCATTTCGATATAACTACAGCTTCATTGCACAATATACACTCAAATATGTGAAATATTATTTAGTTTCATTTTATATACACTATAGTTTCAGTTCAACACAACTACAATATCATTTTGATATAACTACAGTTTCGTTGGGTAATATACACTCAAATATGTGAAATTGTATTCAGTTTCATTTTGTATACACTGCAGTTTCATTTCAATACAACTACAGTTTCATTTCATTTCAATTGCAGTTTCACTTGATAATATAAAAATAATACGTGAGGCAGCGTCAGTTTAGATACACTATAATTTCAGTTGGTAATTAATACTCAAAACACACTCTGTTAACGATAACGGCGCGCAGTTTCTTTACTTAAAGAAACGGCGCCGTTTTTGACTGCGATGCACGTACATCGCGGTCCACGATATAACGACCGCATTTGAAATACTCTAGTGTATAAAAACTAAAAGCCCATATACACAATAATAGGAATCCCAACCAAATTGGGCCAACTTATTAGTTAATTTAATGGGCTATAAAAGGGTTCGCGGGTGTTAGTGGATGGGCCTGAAAACTACCCGAATTGTCAGAGACCCAGATTATGCAATTCAATCCGAATTAAGGTCGGGCCGGATGACTCGATCAATCCCAAACCGTTCATTCTGAAGGAAATTTGTGAGGTTCATTCCCCCCACACGCCCGCCCTATCTATCATCTCCAGTACAAAGACAAATCTCCAGTATAGTCTATACTCATCGCGACGCAGCACTTCCTCCGTATCTGATATTCGTCTCTCTGCATCATGAGTACTTCACTACTTTCTCTCTCTATACGCGCTATATGTATTCGTATATGAGGTTATCATGTGTGAAGCGCTTTGATTTTTGTGTGAAGCGAAATGAGGTTATTCTTCTGATGTGTGCAGGTTTGGGGAATAAGATCAGGATTGGAGCTGACGGTATTCACTTAAATTTCTACATTAGCTTCTGCCGATCTTAATTTGTATTTTGCTTATTTGACCGGCTAATCATCTCTGCTTATGACTGGAAACTTCTGATTTTAATAATTTTGTACATCAGGATTTGGGAAGATCAATCGGTTTTTATCCAGAATTTCTCGCCGAAAAGATGATTCTAAGCAGCTCTCTGGTGTCAATGATTCGCTAAAAGCAGCCAGTTACAAGGTATTTGCATATTCGATGTCATTTAAGTTCTGCATTGATTTGTTCTTTTTTTTTTTTTTTCTCTCAAATAAGCGATCCCTGAAACTGTGGTATGTATGTCTTTGGTGCTTTTTTGATCCTGACATCCTGTAATGTGGAATTTCATTGGATATATTACATCTTTGATTAAATTAGATGCAATTATTTTTTGAAACCTAGAGAGTGAGCTGGAGCAAATTTAGTTACTAGTGATTGCTGAATTGGCTTTGGTATCTATATTAAAGAATGTAAACTCTGTTATTCATTTAAAGCTAAATAATTTTGAACTTTCTGAATTGAATGATCTTAATCTTCATTATGTAGGTTCTTAGCAAATATATAAGTTATAGCTGTTCTTGCAGTTTCAAACCTAGCAAGTTGCTTGCTTAATTCTAGTGTTGAAACTTGAAAGTGGTACTGATTGAGTGATTGTTATTCCTCAAACATCCCCAATTGTTCTTTTTTGGAAGTTGTGAAATACATGATGTCAAATATTTTTTGCAGCTCGGATAGGTTCATCATATTGCTTTTGTCTGACCTCATATTAAGCATGACACTATTGACTTGACTTTCATGATATGCTTTAAAATGTAAACAAAACAGAGCATCTTTGCATGCCATCGGATAGGGGTTTGAAGATTGACAATTAAGCTCGTACTGGTAGATAGGGAACTAACTTAACACTATGCCATGGAAGTAAACTTTTTAATTAAAAGCCACCAATCCACCATCTGAGCTTCAAGATTCTAGGTTTTTCTGTGTCTTGTGCTCCATTGAATGAAACAGATACCAAGACTTTTTCTTATCATCACTTAATCTATAAATCTATTAGCTACCATCCTGCTTAAGGTATTTCCTTAAGGTCCTCTGTTATCCTCATGGTTTCTTTTTGTGTCTTGGTTTACTTAATTAATATTCATGCATTAACCATGGAAAGAGAATGCATTGTAGTTTGGTGTGCAGAGGGAAGTGATGGTTCCTTTTTGCCTTTTTATGCAAAATGCTAATTACAGTGAAATCTTACAGACTTGCTTTTAAATTACTATCAAAGTTCTAGATGCTCATCCAAGTCTTAATCACTATGTAATTGTTTACTGACAGATAAGAGTCTGAAAATTAGCTTGAATAGATAAGTATAGCCTATAGAGAACAAACATTATTGCCTGAATGGGTGCATTTCAGAAGGAAAAATAAAAATTGAAGCCTCAAATAAACTGGATGTCTAGGTTTGTAACATTGTGTCAGACACGTTTACATTTTGCACATCACAACAGAACAGAGATCACAATGATTTGCATCATAGTATTTGAATTTGTTCTTATGCTATAAAATTTCCTTAAATTTATGCATCCAATAGGTTAATATTTCTACTGACTTAATTCCTGGATAGACTATTCAAATAACCATTTACTTTTGTGCATTGAATCATACATATATTATTTGCTCTATTTTTTTTCAAAAGATTGACCAAGATGGGCTTGGATCTGCTGGTACAAAGTCATTTGGAGCATTAGCTCTCTTCGGTGCTGGAGTCTCTGGGCTTCTTGGTTGTGCAACAGTTTCCTTCTCAGATGAGGCAGAGCATGGGTTAGAGTGTCCGAGCTATCCTTGGCCTCACAAAGGCATCATCAGTTCATATGACCATTCTTCGTAAGTAGATTCGTGGCTGCGTCAAAGTTTTTGAAATGTTCTTGAGAAAAGTGTCATTTGGGATTTAGGGTCAACTTAAGATTGAGTTTATGTTTAGAACTTCTTCATTAGGTTTAACAAAAAAAATAATAATAATTGCAAGGGTGAGAAATTGTGATATTTTTATTTTTGTAGCGTCTTGACATACACAGGTATAGTGGCATGAACAGGACGCAATTAGTTTAGGTTTAGCCATCATTTTGGTTGTCTAGCTTAGCTGACCTCTGTTAGAAGTAGCACCCTTTTCTAGTTTCATTAACTTAGTTTGTGAAACAGAATTCGTCGAGGTCATCAGGTTTACCAGGAAGTGTGTGCATCTTGCCACTCAATGTCACTAGTTTCTTATCGTGATCTTGTTGGTGTGGCATACACTGAGGAAGAAACCAAGGCAATGGCTGCCGAGATTGAAGTAGTTGATGGCCCTAATGATGAAGGTGAGATGTACACACGTCCTGGGAAGCTGAGTGATCGGTTTTCACAGCCTTATGCAAATGAAGCTGCTGCAAGGTTTGCTAATGGAGGAGCTTATCCACCTGATCTAAGTCTTATTACAAAGGCATGCTCTTTCGTTTAATACTTTTTAACAATTTTGATAAATGGTTATTCATTTAATATCTGATTACTCTTTCCCAAACCTGGGTTACAGGCCCGGCATAATGGTCAGAATTATGTTTTTGCTCTTCTAACTGGCTACCGTGATCCTCCTGCTGGTGTCTCGGTAATTTTGCTCCTCAAACTGCTTTTAGTTTTGTTTTAAATGAGAAAATAGCATGCAGAAAAATATATAGTGATTGAGGGACAAACATTAATTTACATAATTCTTCCAAATTCATTTTAATGCCTCAACCAAATGGGAACAAAAATGTCAAATTTATGATTGATGTAATCTCTCTCACTACAGATTCGAGAAGGGCTTCACTATAACCCTTACTTCCCTGGTGGTGCAATTGCTATGCCTAAAATGTTAAATGATGGTGCTGTTGAGTACGAAGATGGTACTCCTGCAACAGAAGCACAGGTACAGATCTTTCGTCTGCTTTTCCACTATCTTATATTTTTGTCTAGCCAAGTTACGCATCTCATAGTTTGCTAAATTTACAGATGGGAAAAGATATTGTAACATTTTTGTCATGGGCTGCTGAGCCAGAAATGGAAGAGAGAAAGCTGGTATGTCACAATGTTACCTCCTCCTTTCTCTTCACATCATCTCTTTAAAATCCTTTTCCATTCTTGTTCTCTATATGTCATTTATTGTATAGTACATGAGAAATTGGTAACTTTCATCTCAATTCTAATTACTAAACCGCTAATTAGCGCATCAACTATAGTGTTCATCTATGGCTGAAATTAAGAAAGATCCATTTTTGGACTCATAAAATCTTTTATATTTTTCTCTAATCAACATGATGTTTGACACTATTTATATGCTGTTAGTTACCGTAACTCGTGGGGCTGGTGGATTCAAATCTGCCTTCCCAGTTATGTCAAGTTCATACCTGTAGTGTTAGAAAAATGGGACCAAGAAATTAGATGGAAAATGAAGATGCAGGAAGGGTATATGTATGCCATTTGACTTGTGCATGAACCCTAGTTTTTGTAGGCCTTATTCCCTTGATGCGTTGTCTCTTTGATTGTTTGGATTCAAAATATTACTAACATTGATTATTGATCTTATGCCACATTGACTTTGTCGTCTCAAATATATTATAAAAATGGATCATCTAATCCTGTTGCAATTTGAATACTTGCAGATGGGTTTCAAGTGGATATTTGTGCTATCACTTGCACTTCTCCAAGCAGGTTTTTACCGTCGGTTAAGGTGGTCAGTTCTCAAGTCAAGGAAGCTGGTTGTGGATGTTGTGAATTGAGCCTTTGAACCTTTTTTTCTCCAAATTTGTATCCATGTGAAAGGATGAAAAAATAATACTCCGTGATTACTTTGATGAATGATTTTGACCTGTAAAACTTCTATTGAATAGCGTAGACCGCTAGAAAAAAGCCAGATAGAGAGAAGAATCTCTCGAGTATTCTTTATCCTTTTTGGGGGGGAAATAAGTCGCTGATATACAATTTTCACATTTTCTTTTGCAGTATTCAGCTATCTCATTTATTTCAACTTTAATTTTTTTTTTTTTTTTTTTTTTTTTTTTTTTTTTTTTTTTTTTCACATTTGGACTTGCGGTGTTGCGTTTGTGTTCAACATGTGTAATTGCTAGTCTACATGCTGGAGTTGCTTCACTTGCTTGTAATGCTTTGTTAATGGATTCAGAAATCAGAATACTAGGGGTGTGTTTGGTTTGCACATGGAAATTAGAATTGGAATAGGAATCAAATACTTTTTTTTTTTTTGAACCAAATACTTAGTAGTTAGTAATAGTAATGAGTTTTGGTGAAGTATTTTGTATGTTTGGTAGTATGGTGGAATTAGAATGATTACCAATATTGATGTTTGGTTGTGTATGACCTTATAATGAATAAATATTTTTAAAATATGAAAACAAAAAATTAAGGCAATTGATGATCCTAAGATAATGACATCCAAAGCATCAATATGGAAAAAAAAATCAATAAAAATATAAAAGTACTAATCTAAACTTAAAATTAGATTACCAATAAAATGAAATGATACTATTTTTAATTAGAGAATGATATTTTTAATTAGAGAATGATATTTTTAATTAAAGTGTAATTAAATCTTTTAAAAAAATTATTAACCAAACACTAATTATGATTTTGATTTTCATTCCTAGTGTGTAAACCCATGAACCCATAGATTATGTAACTAATGAAATTTCATACAAGGATAAAAGTCTGCAAAGGCAAGAATTGAACTCATGACCGATCATTCAAGTATACAAATTATGATTCACTCACTTAGATATGTAATGCGACTTGCTTTGCTTCACTTGGTATCCACCTTATTCCCACACAAAACAATTGGAATGTTGTCACACACCCACCAGATATGAAGATCGAGAAAATTAAGTAAGAGTCTATTAAAGGCATTGAAGCTTAAAGCAGTTGAAGATGATTGTGGTGCAGTGAAGGAGATTGGACCTCAACCAATTAAACACTAAAAATAAAGATCCTTTTGAAGCAGCGTGCATAGAACTACAGAAGACCGATCGAGTAGAACCTGGTGAGATGGTGATAACCTGGTGAGATGGTGATGCCATGTGGGAACATTCTTGTAGGTCAAATATGAAGTTACAACATTATGATAGCGCATTGCCAATGGGTACTGCAATTTAACATTAAAAGAGAAAAGAATTGAATCCCTTAACAAAAAAAAAAAAAAAAAAAAAATTAAAAGGGATTAGAAAGCTTAACACCACCCAGATAGGGCAAATGAAAAATGTCATACATGATCATGGAAAATATAGGGGGTGTTGGGTAAATAGCTGTTAGCTGATTGAGTTGGTGAGCTTGACTAGTTGATATCATTAACTGATTGTAGAAAAGTATTTTGTAAATGAGCTGTTAGCTGATAGCTGATTACATGCAAAATGACTCTCTCAAAAAGTTGATCTAAAAAGCTATTTTGAGCAATTTTTTAAATTTTAGCATTTTGAAACAACAAATCCTTATACCAATATAGCCAGGAGATTTTGGCTCTCACATTCTCTTGCCCAACAACTAAATATTTTGCTTATTTTTTTACTTTTTTTTTTTTAATTTTTTTATTTTTATTTTAACCTTATATGTGTTGAGCATATAGCTATTAATGTACAATCTAACTATTAACTTAGACTTTTAGTTGAGATGGAGCACATGCTTCAATTTGGTATTAAAGCCATGCCAACGGTTAATGTGCAATTCAACTATTAGCTTAGGCTTTTAGTTGAGATGGAGCACATGCTTCAATTATATGCAGTAGTCGTATGAGTGTTTTCGTTGATTTTCATAGCTATTTTAATGTGAATGAGTGTTTTTGTTGGTTTTGGAGTCCAACTTTATATAGGATACTAATTCATTTGATTGGTTTTGGGGATAGTTTCATTTCCGATTCATGTGATAGAGGAAACATGTGATATATGAATTACAAACCTGAGTCTTATCTACTAAGCTAATCCTCTAATCTTCTAATTTTTCTCTTTCTATAAGTATACTACTGCTGCGACTTTGTGTTATCTCCCTAAGCCGACTACCATGTCTTGGAACTATCAGCTCTTCTTCTTTTTCACTCAGCTGTGGTGATTACTTACACAGCATAAGTGATGGCTTTCAGTATAAATACACTTGTTTATACAAGCAATTTCACATTACAACCTCTCAGTATTAGTCTATTCGAATCACAAGCTCTTCTTCTTTGATGGCTGGTCAGTTTGTTCTTGCTTCCCAGCTCACTCCACTGTGTAATAGGAAGGCCATTCGAGTTAGGCTGGTGCGAACATATGCTGTTTATGAAAACAGAGAAAACAAGGGGATTAGCAGTCTGGAATGCGTTTTCCATGATGTAGAGGTGTAGTATTTATGATTTTATTAACATAAAATTTCTTTATATTTACTTATGTTCACTAATTTTCAGTTTAATACATTTGAATGTGTTCATCTAGGGTGTGTTTGTTCATTGTACTATACCTAAGGATCAAGTGTAAAAATGGACCAAATTCAAGGAAAGTTGTGTTTATGGGTTAAAGAACTTCCTTTGCATTACTAACTACTTGAAGTTACGTTCAAGACAAGTAATCATCGTTACATGCTCAAATTTAAGCATGATACGATGGTTAAGGAGTACAAGAAATGCAGTTTTCCTAACAAGATTTTTCGTTTAAAATCGATATCTTCCTTGGTTAAAATCGATAGAAGATATTGATGAGAAGATGCTCATAGGTATATTCTTATTCTTAAATACAACCTCTTTTACTTATAAATCTATTCTTATTTAATACCTAACTTTTTCTATTTGTTTTTTTTTAGATGTGATTGGAAGGGTCACTTAAATCTATTCTCCAGTGGAGAGGGTTGTAGCTAGACAGAGAGCTAGGCTTAATGATTTTGTTCTGGAAGATATCAAGTGAGTGTACATGTTTATATTACATTTTTGTTTTTTTTTATTTTTTTATTTTTTTGTTTTTTTGTTTTTGTTTGTTTTTTTTTTTTTAAAGTTTTAATGGAATGACTTCAGTAAACTATTCTTTTTAAAATAAACTTTTCTTTTATTTCTTTTAGTCAAGATCAGATTCAATGTACTCTTTGGGGGATCATGGGACAGTTTGTTGACTATTTATAGCTCAACAGTCACTGAAGAACCCGTGATTGTTTTGCTGCAGTTCTGTAGGGCAAAGATCTTTGATAGTATGTGTTCTCTTATTCTTCTACTCCATTGCTTCAAGTTTTATTAATTTATTCTTTTATCTTTTAGCTTAGTGACATTATCCTGAAATTCTATATTCTTTATTTCCAGATGGAGATGTGCACATATCAACTTCATTTAATGCAACAAAAATTTGGATCAATAAGAGAATGTCAGATTTTGAGGAGTTTAAGAAAAGGTTGAGGTATAAATCCTACATTCTGTTTCTATTTTTAAATACCACAGTTCTTAATTGCATCTGTTTACTTTTATTTCTTCTATTCCAGTCTGTCATATGACAAAACTCCTTAAAGAAAGTTGGACTCAAGCTCTAGACTGACTGGATTTAGGCCAAATCGTAACACTCTGAGTGACGATATTGTCATAACTTCTCTAAGTGAGATTTACAACAGGAAGGAGGTAATAAATTATTATTATTATTATTATTATTATTATTATTATTATTATTATTATTATTATTATTATTATTATTATTATTATTATTATTATTATTATTATTATTATTCTTTTTTTTTTCCAGATTGACTTACTAACTTCTTTTTGCCATTACACAGCTCTGTGAGTATTGGGTGGCTGCTAGGATTATGGATGTTGATAGTTCAGATGGTTGGTATTGCATGTCCTGTAAGGGAACTAACTGTGGGAAAAAGCTAACTCCAAGAGAATGGTATGATGTACTGTTCTAAGTGTGACCGTAGCTGGTATGAGGGGTCTGTCAAGTATAGGGTGGTTGTTCGTGTAACAGACAGTACATCTGAAGCACTTATGTTTATTTGGAATAAGGAATGCTATGATTTGGTTGGTGTTTCAGCTTCATCTCTAAGAGAGAAGTATGCCGAGGTGAGAATGGTTTTTCTAATCTAATTTGGGATTGTGAATGCTATAGATGTTTCTATGTTTATTTCCTAATAAAATTTATGTTTTTTTTTTAGAATGCAAAAGGTTGAATCCCACCTGAGTTGCAGTCTATTTGTGGGATGCCTATACTATTTAGGATTTCTATGAAGAAAGATCAAGTGGACAGTCTGAGCTTTGCATTTGGGGTGTTAGGGTTCTGTAGACAAGCTGACATTGTTTCAAAGCACTGTGAGATTATAGATTGTGATGTAGATGCAACAAAACAAACTCATGAGGTTTAACTATTTTCCTATTTACACTGTTTTCTTCTTTATAAAATTGAATAACACTAGGTGTATTATTCAATTTTTTTTTTCAGGATTCATTTGGCCTGGATGACTTTGGTGATTTTGAAATGGTTGGGTTTGATGAGGGGGGTTCATCTGGAAATGTTGCAAGCACACTGAAGAGGTCTCTAATGGATGAATTCAATCAGTCTGACGACTCTAAGAGACTTAAGATTTCAGTGATTAAGTTGAAAAAAATGTAATGCGATTGCGGTTTCTATGCAGCACACTGAAGAGGCCTCTAATGGATGAATTCAATCAGTTTGACTACTCTAATAGACTTAATACTTCAATGATTAAGTTGGAAAAAATGTAATGCTTTTGCGGTTTCTATTCTATGTTTTACAATGTTTTCCTAATGGGGCCAGTCTATGTACTACTTTTAAATTCTGTCTTATGTTTTGGGACTCTATGGACAATATGAATATTATGTCTACCTATTTTTATTTGGTACTTCTATGTTCAAGTTTATTTTATTTATGTTTCCAGTTTAAATAGTACTAACTAATGAGGTGGTTTTAGGGGTACATACCTTTTCATATTATGATACTTTAGGACTTCTATCTTCATTTGATAACCTTATTTGGAATGAGATAATTAAATACATATTAGTGA